TATTGAAACTTCTATCATATCAAGATTGCTGTGGCCCAGGCGACCTCCGACCACCACATACTCCACCAGCCCTTCCCTGTTTGTAAACAGTAGGCCTAGCAGGGCACTACTAGTAGGCTCACTGACCAGCTGCAACTGGAAGTTGCCATTCATACATTCTAGAAACTTCCTGGACTGCCCTCTTTCTGCTGTGTTGCACTTCCAGCAGACATCTAGTAAATTGAAGTCCCCCATGAGAACCAGGGCTAGTGAAAGTGAGACATCTCTAAGTTGTTGAAAAAATGCCTCATCAGTGTCTTTATCCTGGTCAGGTGGTCTGTAGCAGACTTCCGCTGGGATATCAGCCTCATTGGCCTTCCCCTTTATCCTTATCCATAAACACTCCACCGTGGTGTGCCTAGCATTTAATCCTAGGCAGTCAAAGCACTCCTTAACATGTAACGCTATCCTATCACCTCTCTTTCCTTGCTCATCTCTTCCAAAGAGCCTGCAGCCATTCATTGTGGCATTCCATCTATGCGAATCATCTCACCATGTTTCTGTGATGGCAATTATATCATGGTTTCCCTGGTATACAACAGCTTCTAATTCCTCCTGTTTATTTCCCATGCTATGGGCATTGGCATACATGCACTTGAGGCGCAGTACAGACATCGCCTCCAACACTGCTCACGCCAAGTCCTATTCCTAGCAGTCCTGAGTTCGTCACATATGACACCATTATCCGCCTCAAGTGGGATGGCAGACTGAAGGCCATCCTTAGGCTCATTTCTAGTGAGCCTGGTTTTATCCCCTTCCACTGGTGAGGCTAGTTTAAAGCTCTCTTGACAAGCTCCGCCATCTCCTGTGCTGGGATCCTTTTCCTCCTTTGGGATAGATGTGTTCCATCTGTCATCAGCATACTCAGTGTCACGTAAACTTCCCCATGATCAAAGAATCCAAATTTCTAACGGTGGCACCAGTCTCTGAACCACGCGTTGATCAAGTGTATTTTCCACTCACTTTCAGTGTGTTTCCCTTCCACTAGAGGGACTGATGAAAACACTACCGGCACACCTGATCCATGTGCTAGTCGCCCCCATTCCTTAAAGTTATTTTTTATTGCATTTGGATGTCTCTCTACAACTTCATCAACACCAACCTGGACAACTAACAAAGGCTAGTAATCAGAGGGCTGCACTAGACCAGGCAGCTTCCTCTTCACATCCCTGACCCGGGCCCCAGGGAGGCAGCAGACTGCTCTGTGGGCTGGGTCTGTTTGACAGATGGGGCCCTCTGTTCCCCTCAGGAGAGAGTCGCCTACTACAATTATGCCCCTTTTCTTCTTAATTGAGGAAGTTCTAAAGCATGGGGGTGAGAGATAAGCCCTGGGCAACTCACTGGGTGGATCTTCATCTCCATCTCCATCTCCACCCACCTGGTCCTCAAGTCCCAAAGCCCCCTGCCTATTATGCAAGGGCATAATAGGGAAGGTGAGTGAGATGGGTGGGTTTTGGAGGCTACTGTGGTATTTCTGGCTGCTACAGCTGTAATACATGCTCATGCTCTGCCTACACATGGGGGTGCAAGAAGCGGCAGCCTTGTAAAGTGTTCTGATAGTCAGTGGCTGCTCTTTCCCAACGCCATCGACACAACCTACCCATCATGGTGACTTTCTTTTGATGCCTTTTTTTCTCTGTGTCTTGGGTTACAATATGTAACCAAAAATGTGTAATTCTAGTTTCATCTGTTGAAACCAGCTGGAAGACTTTGTTTTGTTTTTTTTTGTTTTTTTCATTTTTTTGGCCAAACCATTGAGTTGTCTTTTTTTTTTCCAGCATTTCTGGCTTGTCATTATGAGCTTTGTGTATTATGTAGAAAAGTATTTTTAGGAACTCTAAGGACAGCGGGGGGAACGGGGTTTTTGTCCTGCCGTGGGACCTCGGACCTCAGACGAGCCGCCGCTTTTTCTTCGCCTTGGCCGGAGAAGTGGACTTTAGCCCATCGCCACCGGACTTCTCTACCGAATCACCCGGAGCAGCATCTGCCATTCCAGCAGGACTGTAATCTGGATCTATTCGGACTTTTTTTTTGTTCCCAAGTCAGGTATTCTGACTCTGTCGGGTTCGGGGATTATTTGTCTCTTGTTGTTTTTTTTCCCCTGTATCATTACCCCTCGTAGTTTGCAATCTCTCAGTAAAGAACTGGTATTCCTATCCCCATATCTTTGTCTGAAAGCCCCATCATTTCAAAGGTACAGCAGTTCGGAGGAGTGTGTGTGTGGGTGGGAGGGATTTACAGTTCCCGGTTTCAAGGGAGGCTTTCCCCTGTCTTCTAAACCAAGACACTCTGTTAGCAAGACAGTAAGAAAATGTCATTAAGCCTGAGCTTAATAAGCTGAATTTATTAATTAATAAGACTTAATAAGCTTAATTTATTTCATGTCTTTCTGTCATTAAGGCATCAGCAATGAGAGCATCCTGGAAACAAATGCCTAAGTAGGACTGTACCCCTGTCTCCCCTTCCTCTTCTTGTGGCAGGGACAGATGTACCCAGCTGTGAGGTTCAGACGAGATGGAGCAACACAGGGAAAGGAGGAGGAGAAAAGGGACAGAAGTGCCACTCATCTAATGTATTTTTCATTATTCCTGAAAGGTTGTAAATCATATAGATGAGTTGCAAATCCACAATTTATTCGTTCACTTACATGAGATGTTCCTCCATCTTCAGTTATTTTGTCTGACTTCCAAGGCCACATCATGCATAATCAGCCTGCAGGATCAGGAGATTGGGCCCCTATATCTTTCAAGGGTTTTGTATATTTATATATTTATATATTTTATCTATTTTATGTAGAATTAGAAATTATACCTGCTGCAAAAGGTTATACTGTGTGCTGTCTTAAATAAGTCTTTACAGAAAGCAAGATAGATTTGGTTATTGTTTTACAATCACTCTGAAAACATAAAATTTGGCAATTTGCCAAATGTTCACTGTGGTGTGTTAATCAGAAATATCGAAAAAAAAAAAGAGAGAAAAAATTCTGGGCTAATATAATTCCAAGGGGGAGGGTATGTAACAGCAGTACATACTGAAAAGAATTTCCTTGCTTGCCCTAGAATTAGCTTCTACAGATCACAGAGAAATGCACTTATTTTATACTATCCATCTCAGGAGCCACAGACATAAAAGTGTCTGAGCAATAAGTTTGTCTAATGAAACAGGAGTAACAAAAAAACAGCTACGAGAAATAATTGTTAACCCAAAATGGTAACACATTTCTATTCACGAACTCCATCTGTTAGAAGGGAAAATTAAGAAAATTATCATTCTGGCTAACCCATCAATGCCCTTCCTTTAATATCTATCATCTTAGTATATGGAATTTTGCAAGTAATTTTAAAGATACGATATTAATAAGTGTCCTCATCCTTTGTGCAAGACATCTATTTGTTTTGTGGCTCTGGGGTGCGTGTGTGAGCTACAAAGACACACTTAATATCAGAATGGTATCCACATCCACAGTAACCTGAAGCACTTAAACAACACAGGCATCACATGCGAGCGCATGGCTCTTGGAACATTATCAATACATCTTCTTATTACCAGCAACTAATGACAGTCCTTTCAGCAAGGTGTGGACATTTGATAGTATTTTACATTATTTTTTTCTTTATACTATACTAAGAAATGTAGAGCCAAGAAATATTTCTGAAGAACATATCAGAAGAAACCAAGAAAGCTCTTTGCTGTAGACTTGAAACCTTTCTTATCTATACACAACCTTGAGTGTGCTGCAAAACTCTTAACCAGAGGATTTGGCACATTGACTTGTACTAAAGACATCAGAAGAATCGAGGCCAAGGGTGTTGGCTTTGACTTGGCTACTTCTAGCATCTAGAAGGCATAATGGTAACTGCACATAATCAGCACCAGGTAAAGAAATGCTTTGGTCTGATCACAGTGTCCTCTGCTTTCTTAGCACTACAGCTGTCATGCATGATGGTCTTACTTGATTGCAGGCCCCAGTCAAAGGAGTGGTGACATGGCATCCACAGGGAAACTGAGGCTTCATTGTCCAGTGCTGGTCTGTTGCAATGATCTGTGGAGCAGCTATCACTGAAATACATTTGTTGAGATATAGTTAAGCAGGAAACCAGCCTGGAGGTCATGAGAGTCTCACCATAAATCGGATGTAATGGGTTATTATGACCACCTCCAGGTGGTGCACCTGAGTCTAGAATTTATTGTAACACACTAAAAGAAAGTTGTTTCCCTTGTCAGATTCTTGGCCCTCTATTACTACTGAATTCCAAACCTGTTAAAGGAAAGAAGAGAAACCCAAAAGTTTTCCTGCAACCTCCTTTTGTTCACTGTGACATTTCAAAGCCAAATACAGTTGAGCCATTCAGCTTCTTTACAGGACACAGTTATGATTAGACTTGCTTTTGAAAGCTAATGTATTCTGAAAACCTGAGAGAAAACAACTTTCCTCCTCTGTTTCCTCAACAGAAATCTGACAAATTAGAAATAGAGTGGAAACAGGTACTGTTTGCACACAAAATGAGCTCACAACCACAATATCATGAAAAATAACCGAGTTGTTGGGAAAATACAGATATTCCTAAACACTTGCAGGTTCCATGCATCAGCAGCCACAATAGAGCAGACTCATGGAGAACTTTCCACACAAAATAAATCGACAAACAAATAGGTAGAAACCTTCAGTGGAGTGATGGTAAAGCACAGACAGGCTCCCTTGGTGCCTGCGGACGGGTATTAGCTGACGGTCAGAGTCTGGAACAGGAGGAGCAGCCAGGAGAGGTGCTGAGCTGGGCTTCAGAGCTTTTGGGACTCTGGTCATGACTAGGGTTAAGAGCAGGAGTTTAGAAAGTGCACCTGATATGCTGCATTTCTTTGGAAGAAGAGGTATTAAATTAAGATTAGATATTTTAATACGATGTATAAACTATGCAAACTCCAGTGGTACAAACCTTCAAAAGCAGCACAGATGAAACAGCTTCTTCGGATCAAAGGTTTATTTTTAATGACACAGCACTGGAAAACATAAGTTACAGATGACTTTTTGATACAGGATACATTACATATTTCAAAAGGATCCTTAAAGGTATGCTGCATAAATATATATAAGTGAAAATATATTGTGTTTATTTCTTCTCAGAGATTAGTTCTGTTTATTTCTTTAAATTTATTCAGCCAATTAAATTAAAAAAGTGTAGATTAGCATCATAACAGCTCCCCCTCCAGATTTTCTCATTGTAACTACTGCAGCTGGAAGAAGAGACCGAACACGCCTTCTCAACAGTTTAGCAGCTTTGAACATGATGTTATTCATCATCTCAGAATGAAAATTGCACATTACAAACACAGATACTGTATCATGTTTTGGCAATGGAGCGGCTAGTTTTGCTTGGGAACAAAACCATTGCCTGTAATGCCAGACAGTGAAAGAGCAATGCTTGTACCAATGATACTACACAGCCAAAGAACTACGATGAAGTCATGAAAATGCATATATATGCATATGCACTTATATATACACATAAAAGTTCTGATGTGTGTATATATATTATGCATGTCCAAAAATAACATTGCAGCATCTTTTTTTTTTTCAACACATGAAACTTATAATAGTTTGACCTCATTACTACAGGGTAACTAATTAAATCATCTGTAGTGCAACTCAATACAATACACAGTGCAGAGAAGTTAAGGTTTTGGTACTGAGGAGGCTAATTTCAGATTTCATGGGAAAGGATCAAATACAGGATCACCATAGCTCTGACAAAGCACAAACAAACCTGTTGCCACATATGTGTGAACAAATAAGGACATTTCTTTTTTATTTCATTTTTTTTCATGTACTGCTTCAGAAATTGCGAGCTTAGCTGTTTGCATTCATGCTCATTTTGATATGTTTCAACAAGCTTTGTCTGGCACCAGTCTGTAAACCATTAACAGCTTAAACTACAAAAAGGTGGGCTCCTGTGTTTCAAAGAGGTTAAAAACCTACTGATTGAGCTTCATCTCACGTTCGCCTTCCTAAGCACATAACTACTCCAGATGGCGTGTGAAGTTCTCTGGGAAAAGTCCTTTATAACTATTTGCATCTCTGTACTGAAGCCACTCGGATTCCTTAATGCCTGTCAACCAGCCAGCCTCCTGCAAGGAAAAAGACAAGAGTCTTAAACTTCAGACTCCCCCTCCGTTGCTACAAGCTTCAGACCTTAAGATGTTTCAGAGCCACAGGGCTAAAACATTTGGTGATTTTGTTAAAATGCAGCCCCTGATTTTGCACAGACCATTTTCTCTGTTCTGCCAGACTGCAATTTATTTTCTGAGACCGTGTGACTGTGAGCATACTGTACAGCCTTTAGCCCCTCTGACCCCTAGCTGAACTAAAAAATGGATAATCAGACTTCCAGGTTATCCATTATTACACCAGATCTGCATCTGCGCAAATCTCCATTGAGACTTTTTCAAAGTTGTCACAGTAATATTGGCTCTCTTGCGCAGCAAGGGAGAGCAAGAAATATTACACAGTAAGGGGAAAAAATAGTTTTCAATCAGATTTCTTCCCCGAGAGTTCTTTTCTCTCATTCATGTACTGACAGTCAGAAGAAATAACAGTAACTCCAGACATTGAAAGAACTATCTCTAGAAATTCAGAGTTAATTAATATGGATTTTTTTTCCCCCAAAACTCCTAGAAACCTAAACCAGAACTAGACAAGAAAAAAAGCGCAGACAAATCACCAGCAGTCCAAGCAATCAAAAGGAAGATTTCTTATTGGGAAGTGATGGGTTCTCTTAAGCATGATCAGTCTTACCTGGAATAAAATCAATTAACTATTTTTAAAAATTATCAACCTGTTCTCACCTCACTAACTCAGTAACTCTGTGCTTAGTTCCTTTTAAGAACAGGAGCCAGAGTTAAGACTTGAGAAACCTAATTTCTAAGGAGATGGAGGAGCTTGAGCAGATCTTCATTCACACCACCAGGCTGTGATTGCTCAGTAGTGGTTGTCTGGCTTCTCCGCCCCCAAATCAGCATCATTACAGCGGATACAGTGGATGTATGGCATTGGCTGGGTATGTGAACACATTTTGGAAGCATGTGGAATATCTGAGAGGAAGGAGAGAGGAACTGCTGCTTTCTAGCACAGACAGCATATACTGTATGAAGGAATAAACAGTTTTAGTGGATAATAACTTCGACTCAAGACTGATGGAAAAACTGAAGCCACTGCATGGGACTAGTGTGCTTCAAATGGGGAACACAGGCTGATGTTACCAGCTACATTAGATTTATGGCTTTAGAGAGGTCAATTCTGAAGGAGAATAAAGAATAACAAAGATAAAAAGGCTCTATATAAATCAGCAAAGTACCTGGAAAAAGTCAAAAAGATTAATCTTTATGGTGATGTTAAACACGAAGGGCAAATCTGTACTGAGTAATAAAGACAGGACCAGAATGGTTTCAGAAACATGAATACATAAAGGTTTATTTTCTCCACCACTGCACACCATTTACTCCAATTAATGCTAATTGAATTCTGATGCACACCACACAGGTGGAATATACTTCAAGGATTCACCAAGTGAAGATTAAGCATATTTAATGCATGACATGCTAAGAAAAAAGACTGAAGACAGAGAACAGATTTTGATATCCTTAGAGTAGCATTCTATTCTGCAAATACTGATAACAAAATCAGTTGAATAGCCCACTATGCAAGATGCAATACAATTTGAATAAGGATAACAGAATCTATCTCTATAAAAAGAGCAAAACACTCCGCTGAAAGAAAAAACATTTATTCTGAAATAAACACACACAACAATTTCTTGTCTCTTGTACTAAAAGAAAGCTCATCTGAAATGAGGAACATTGATTGTTGCCTACCTTTGGACAGCATTAACTATCAAAATAATTTCAAATTAATTCCCCAGCACTCTTATGTGCTTAGAGCATTAGTATTTAGACCTGTTTTTAAAAATATTCTTCATTCAGAGCAGTGCTGTTAGCTACCTGACTAGACAGGGTCCAGGCCCCCACCTCCCAAGCCCCAAATCAACAGGAGACTTTTCACCAACACTTCTGGCACTAACAGGTGCCCACAGAGCAGCTGATGCTCATAGTGTGCAGAATGGCCTTCTCTTTTAAAGTACTAACCAAAAATCAACTCACTTCACTGTAATTCGATTTAACATGTGGAATAAAATCATTTTAAAATTCACCTGAAACACATTGGTAAAACAAAGTTGGATGCCTGAAATATAATTGAACTGTCATTTAATTCAGGTTTGGGCTTCCAGAGCACGGAGTTAGCTTTAGAGGCATGCAGCACACATAGCAGTACCTCCATACATTTTTGCTGTACGACAGCACAATTTCTATGCAGTCTCAGTGCTCTCAGTGCATGAATTTGTATTATCTCTCCAAATCCACACACAGAAGTCCTGAACAATTTAGGGACCATGTAATCAATTCTACTGCAGTGTTAAGGCAAGATGATCTGTAGGAACAAAATGCACAGTTTCGAAGTCATCTTCTGTATTAAGCCTTTGTGTGAATATGTGTCTGTGTAAAATCCACTACAAAGTATCATAAAACTAGCCCTAGAAAATATGCTGAGGTCGGATCCTGCTTGTAGCATATATCTGAGACTTTAATTGCAGCCAACAGTGCTACTTAGTCTCAAATGAAACCAAGTACAAAGACAAAAATAAAATCTTTGTTTTCTAGCAGTAACAACATTTTAAAGAAACATTCCCATTAACTATAATCTCTGATAAAAAAAGTTGAGACAAAGAAAAAAGTCAACAGAAAGAAAGAGCCACATGTTTTTACCTGATCAGCTGTAGTCTCAGAAGGAATTACTAGTACAATATCTCCTCGTTTTAAATTAAGCTCATCACTGTTAGCTGCCTCAAAATCATGTAGAACTTCAACCTGAAGAAAATAACACCAAATGTATGGATATGATCTAAATGAAGGCATTTCCTCAACAAAATTATATCTTAAACCTTTACTGAAAAGAAATTAATAATAATGTGCCTTTTTTACACAAACATATGGCTATAGACAGATACATTCACATCACTAATCTTGACATTGTTTCATATCAAAGTTTTCTATTTGTATCCTTAGAAGCAGGGACAGCTTCAGTAAGTCTTCCTGAGGCTACAAGGGAAACCTCAAGACACTTTCACAAGGTTACTGGATCTCCCAGGATCTCATACTTCGGTCTCCTCTCAATCTCTCATTGTGGCCACTGTATATTATTCTTGCTGTAAACATCTATGGACAGATAGCACCCATTTCAACAGGTGATCAAACTTTGGCAGTGACTGAAGAACCACGCAGAGTAGAAGCAGAACAGGTCTGGGAACACCTAGAGAACCTGAAGGTGCACAAGTCCATGGGACCTGATGAGATACATCCATGGTTCCTGAAGGAACTTTGTCAGTGACTTGGATGATGGCACTGAGTGCATCCTCAGTAAGTTTGCCGATGACACCAAGCTGTGTGGTGCCATGGACTCACTTGAGGGAAGAGATGCCATCCAGAGGGACCTTGACAGGCTTGACTAATGGGCCAGTGCAAACTGCATGAGCTTCAACAAGTCAAAATGCAAGGTCCTTCACCTGGGCCGGGCTAATCCCAGGCACAAATACACACTGGGCACAGAGTGGGTTGGGAGTAGCCCTGAAGAGAAGAATTTAGCTGTGTTGATAGACGAGAAGCTCAACATGAGACGACAGTACGCTCATGCAGCTCAAAAGGCCAACCGCATC